GGTAGGGAATAGAAATATTTTAAAATATCTTGCTATTTATTATTAAAATAAACAATTGTAAATTTTTAATAATTTGAAATAAAATAAATATCAGCAAATCGAAGACATGAGCAATTTTATAGGGTAGAGCGGGTCTTAAAGGTCCGCTGGTAAAAAGGTTCACCAGCAACATCTCAAAAACAAGTAAAGTTTTCAGTAATAGTTTTTTAACAAACATATTTGAAAGTAGAGGGGCAAAAATATATAACCAGCCAATAATTTGATGCTTACAAAGTCGATATCAAGAGATAAACGGCCTTATTTAAAAATCTATAGTTTTCTTTCATTGTTAGTTTTTTGGTTGTGAGCACTGTTGTTTAGTGTACGAGACCACAATATAATTTTTAAGTATACGTTATTTAATTGTTTTATAAGTCTATTGTTATTTTTAAGTTAGATTTAACAGATTTGTGTATATAACCCCTATAAAAGCTTACACTTGGGTCGGGTAAAAAGGACCAACTGAAACTTTACCCAAGAAAAGGTGGAAACAATTTAAAATAATAAATAAAATTGTAAATTCAGTTAAAAAACAATTTTACAATAAACTAATTAAATTAATAGTTAATCCAACTATGCTGATGAATATCTCTGATGAAATACTAGATCAAGGTTATATATTATCTGATCTTTGTATTAAATGTTTCCATAAAATTTATTTTATAATATCACTTTATATTTAAAATTAAGACATTAGATCTGTTTTCCTTCTGGCTGTCTCTTTTTACCTCACCTATGGGGGAAATAGAGACAGATAACAAATTCTAGAAAAATAGTACTAAAAACACATTTCTAAAATATTTCCAAATTTTCCAAACTGAGAATTTTACTGAGAATATAGTACGATAGTTGTTTGTTTGATAAGTCTTATGTGTTATGATGTAGTTCATTTTAAATAAATATTCCCATATGTGTAAAAATCGACTTTAATTAATAATGATTGAGATGTAAAAAACAAAATTGTGATGATAAAAGTTCATTAGAAAATCAAGTTTCCAGTTTTCAGTAGGAAATAAGAATGATCATTATCAATTGATGACTTTCAAAAAGACTTATAAGAAATATTAATTAATGGGGCAATTCTGTCTATTGCCCCTGCAATTCGGTTTATTGGCAGTGAAAATTATGAAGATGAATATTTATTTGCCGTGCTATCAGGCGTATTTTGCATATAAAGAAATAAAGAAGCAAGAAAGAATTTTATGATAACAGAATCTTCGATGATGCAGTTATCATAACATTCTTTCTTGATGTGTTTATATGTATTGAATTGTTTTGTGGTATCATGAAGTAATTTTTAGGAATCGAAAAATGTAATGTCAAGTAAACATAAAGCTAGCTAATAGTAGACACTTAGTTCTGATCGCTGTTCAAACAAATAAAAAAAATCCATTATATTATAACACATAAAACAGCTTTCAAACACATAAAACAATCATTACAATAAAAATCTAAATATGTCACACAAATTGAGGTGCATTTTCCATCAACCGATTTCGTTCGCCGATAAGCGATCTAAATGGGATGATATGTATTCAAATGAGTTCTTATTAGAAGTCAATTATCCTCCAACGTTGATCGATCATTTCTTTTTTATCGTTCTGTATTTATATCTAATAGCTTTTTTACACAGAAAAGATTCGAAATGTGCGATAGTGTCAAAGATATGTCTTCGCGTGTACATTATCGCCGATTAACGATATGGTACCTACTAGATTCTAATGGACTATTAATACACCTGGAAAAATCGGGACAGGTAAAAGATGTATTTGAATTTAATCCAACAGAAATAAACGATACCTTAATATCAATATTTAATATGTATTCAATATTAACTTTTCGCATGATATGTTGTAGTAATCGCAAAACAAACAAAAAAATATTGGATATCTCTAAGTTTCAACACCCTCTGAACATTTTGGTATAGCTTGGAATAAATTTTGTCAGTGCGTTTTGGTTTTTCAAGTTATATGCCAATTTAATATTGAATTATGTATTATTATGTATATAAGTTATGTATTAATATAAGTTACAAATTAAGTTTACATACAATATCTGTAATTTAATAATTGTATGTATTTTATAAATATGAATATAAAAATAGGTACATATGTGCAGATAAATTATTTTGTCGACGTTTCCACAATTACCGATAAACAACTACTGGCTTACTGATTAGTTTTTGGGTTTTGGGCAGATCCACCACCCGTTTCAGAGTTAGAGAGCAAAAAGAAGCAGTTCAATTTTTGAGAGACCAGAGCATCCATTTAGAATGAATCCATAAACATTTCATTTGTATTAGTATAATGAAAAATTGATTACATTTTTGCGAAGGCAGATCCAGTGGTTTTGGGGGTGTATATGAAACATAAAAAACAATGCCATTTGGTGTGTTCAATATAATCATCACAAATCTTTATTATTAATTCATATGCAAATTAATGAACCAATTCTGCAGTAAAATAGACCGATGTTATTGCAAGTCTATGTTACGTAGTTCTTCTCATACAAAAGGGTACTAAATACTGTCAAATTGCCATGTATTTGCTGTGCCATTTGGCGTTTTACACATAAAATAAAACTTCACTCATTTGTTATTACGCCACATAAAAAGATACAGTTATAATAACATCGTATTTTTTGCATCTGTGCGTTTTCCAGGTTAGGTTTTTTATCTAAAACGCATAATTGCACTGCTATCACATGGTTTTGTACATTATTTAGTACTATTTTGTATGAAAACTACTACATAACATAGCCTTGCCATAACATTGGTCTATTTTACGGCAGAAATGACCCCTAAATTGTTATGATAGCAAAAAGACATAAACAGGTACATATATCGTGATGTAGATAGATAGAGAAGTATATTGACAGATAGAGATGTATATAGATAGATAGAGAAGTGGAAAGATAGATAGAGAAGTAGATACATAGAGAAGTAGATATTTGGACATGTAGACAGGTAGACTGCAGTTTTGCATTTGTAAATTGTTTATTTAAATAAAATGTAACACAAAATATATTATTTTTATGTATTTACTTAAACGTACTAGTTTAAGTTAAATGTTTGTCTTGATTGACACAAATAATTTATTTAAGAATAAGTTATTATGATCGTCTCGAAAAATTTGCGTACTAAATTACGATAATTTTTATTTAGTTCACATTTTGATATGAAACATAGGTTAAGTAAACATCGATAAAAATATTAATAAAAGTCTTGATATTATCAAGAGAAATGAACCGATTTTATCAGATGTAGAAATGTAAAACCCTTTTCACTACTCTGTTATTTTTTTGCTGTCACGGCAATATTTTATTACTTGTATTTTGACTATTAAGTAGTTTCCTGATTAGGCCGAGAGTTAGTTAGATATAATTTTACATTATTTAATAACAACAATTTTATTATAATAAATACATTTTTTATAAAAGTGCAGTTTACGATAATGATTATTTTGAACTTACTAATATAATATATTGGTTTTAAGAATAACTTTGATATACAACATATAATAATAATAAAATAAAGACTAAAATTGATTTTATAATATAGTGAATTTAATAGTCGAATATCTTTAATACATACAGTTCAAACCCAAATTTATATATAGGTAAATAATTATTAGACAAAGTGAAACATTACTGTACTCTACAAACACCAAAACCACACGAACAAAAATTAATCATCTATCGAGCTCTTTTTTTACGCCACCTGACTACATTGGCTCTCTACAGAAATCTTCATCATTTCACCCTTTCTTATAGTCGATTTTATCATCATTCATCACCATGTAAATATACACTTAAATCATGTACAAATCATTATTAGGCATATGTAATATGGAAATATGCCTGCTCTGTCAAACAAATATATGTAATTCAGATTTGAAAAGAAAGAGCCGTTTCCGATTGCAAATGATAAGCAAAATATATATTATGAGCTATGGTTTAACGGACTTTAGCGTAAAATGACAAAATTTGTCGGTGGGTAAAGTTGAAAAATGACGAATAGGCTTCCTAGCACCCGTTCAATAACAGCCAGTTTGACCCCTTCTATCTTTAAGGTCTCTAGTGGTGAGGTAGCTGATATTCTTCTGTTCGAGGGTCAATTGATAGTGTGGAAGCTAGTGTTCCAACATGTACATAGACGGGGCTCTTGACGGGCTCTTGACGGGCTCTTGACAAACACACATCCGGATAGATAACGCTGTAATAATCAGCTGTGCCTTGTGTTGATTTCAGCGTTTTCACAGTTTCTCTGAGTTCTTTGAGCATTTGGTAAGCATCTTGTTGTGCTTTATTTGTCTTAGAATATTTCTCTTAGAAGCCGATAATCTTTGCCATATATCATTTCATCTGGGAAAGCTTGCAGGTCTTCTTTTTATGAACATTGCAATCCAAGCAGGTAGAAGTAACGCGTCCAGAGAATTCTTCTCATTGGGATACATAATAGCTGGGTTTAAAAATCTTGGTAAGCTTTCTACTATGTCATTAGCGCTAGGATGGTAAGCTGTAGTATACGATATTTTCAACCGAGAAAATTTTACTATGGCGTTGAACAGTGCGATCCAAATTATAGCAGCCAAAACAAGATGTCCATCCATCTATGAATTGCGCCACTGATTTACCTGTAATGTCTCGCAGTCAGCAGACTTCTGGTCACTTTGTAAATTTTCATGTGACTATACTTAAATCCACGTGCGCTTGGAAAGGGTCCGATCAGTTCTAATGGTATGTACGTATGTTGGCGGAGAGGAATATAAATTTACCATATATAAAATCGAATTTATAAATTTAATTAGTCAAATATAAGAGATTAAGCATGCTAAAGCAGAGTTTAAGGTTCTGTTAAGGTGATTTACTATTAAGAAGAAAAAGTTTTTATTTTAGAAGAAGTTGCATTTTTTTGTTCTTGCGCTTTTCGTGGGAATCTTTGGTAACGCTTTTCATGGGAATCATTGGTAACGCGGTTTCCTGGAAGGAATAGATCCTAAACGCTTGTAGATTCGTCTTCGCGTAGCTCTCCTCTTTGCAGATCTGGCCCTTCGTTTTGGAACTGCTCGTTTTGAAGCCCGTCGCTTCGAAGCTCCTCGTCTTGAAGCCCGTCGCTTCGAAGCTCCTCGTCTGGAAGCTCTTCTTTTTGATGCTCCTCGTCTTGAAGCTCTTCGGGACTTGCGACCACGGCTTTTTCTACCTTTTCTTCTAGTACTGCGCTGGGTCCTCCTTCTCCTTGCCGCCAATATGTGTGGCGTTAATGCAGCCTGTTCTTCGTCGCTGTACATGTTCTTGCTAACGTCTGAAATATGTACAACGTTAGTTTTAAAAATGTTCCATGATAAGATGGAGCAGCACATTAAATACTAGGGCATTAAAGATTCGCGGGAGAAAGATTTTTAATAACAAGTATAAAACTTTTTCACGATACTATTTTGAAGCACAGGTCAAGAAATGTGCAACTAGCCATCACTATAATTGGTGCTACCAGGAGATTAACGGCTATGTATCAATATTTATAATAGACGATGTTCTTTCGTTGGCATTTTTTTCGAGTTTTGTTATTTAGTTAACTGAATATAATTTGTATGTATACTTGTTATTTTAAAGTCATATTCAAGTTTTTTTTATAAAACCTTTAGAATAGCGTACATGTGGTTGAAATATAATGAGGTATAAAGGACCACTAAACTTCACCCCAGCTAAATATAAATCATAAAAAATAATAAATAAAAAAGCAAATTATGTTAAAAAAAATTTACAAGAGACGAAGAAAATTAATAGTTATTTCTATTAATGATATGTCATTTTTTTTAGGTATGATAAATATGACTTTATTCGTAATAATTCAGGAAAATGAGTAATATTATGATAAATTAATCAATAATACCAAAGAAAGTAAGCTAGTAATACGAGTTGGTAAATATTTTTGTTAAATATGTACACCAATATATTTTTTTTATTTTTGTTATTCATTCTAATAAATGTCCTGCATCACATTGATAGAATATGGTATCTATTATATAAAACTAATATCATAACAAATTTTAGAAAAAGATTCTCAAAGTAAGAGCCAAGAAAGAAAGTAGTGTATTGAAGCTTCAATATGTACTTAATATTATAAAAAAAAATTGAAAAAAACTGCATTCTGCACCAATTACAAAAATGTTAAAAAATAGTTAACAAATCAGAAAAGTGTAATCAGAGAAATGCTTTAAGAAAAACAAAATGAGTTATGAAATAATATGTCATTCATCTATAAACGTCAAATTAATAGTATATCGGGAATGTAAAAAAAATTCCTGAAATATTTTAGAAATAAAATTCATATTCATATCACTTACCAGTTAACGCCACTAAGCCGTTGCTGACTGCTTGACACAGGGCCTTCTTAACTTGCGTTTTCATAGTGGACGGATCAATCGCGCTTTCTACAATTAAAAAATACTTAATTTTCTTTCTAAATTATAAAAAAATAACTTAAAATATTTTAATATATAATATATATAATATATAATATAGATCACTATACCTTGTGAATCGTTTAGCAATGCTAAAGCAAACAGCATTTTATTGATCTTATTGTTGGTTGAATTTTTATCAGACATCTTGATTTTGGGTTTATATTGTAGTTTTATTAAAAAAAAATTAAAAAATCGGATAGAAAAACATAATTGTAGAAAAAGTAAAAATGTATAAAAATTTGACTAAAAATTTTGTTGAGCAAAATTGTTTACAGTTTTTTGTTTGCCCGTGCACTTACTTTGATCAAAACTAGCAAGGCTACTATGCTCCGAAAATATTTTTTTGTTTCATTATCGTCAAAATATTTGAATATGAAATTTGAACAAAAAAATTATCGTAACTAGATCATATAATAATGTCACTAAAATTCTAAAAATTTAAGACTTGAAAAGAGTGAAATTAAGGATTAATTGCAAATCAGTAAAAAACGTTGTATATCGTTTTAAAAAAAAAATAATTAACTTCGTTTTGATAGAACCGATTTCAAAAGTTTTAAAAATTATTTTATAATAATTCAAGATGATTAGTCTTCTTTGGTCTGGGTTGTCTTCTTGAGAAAAACAAAATACTATGTTAGAATGTACCTAATATAGTAAACACAGATCTTAAGCAATTGTTAAATAATATGGTCAAAGAGTGTAACGAAATCTTGAACCTGCCTTTGGATTCGCTCTTATCATGTTATTATTAGACTTCTTCTAAAGAATTGTGATAAAATAATTTAACATAACAGTGGCTAAAAATGAGTCATATCGCGTTTACTATTCGGATGTCATAAATTAATACTAATCATGACACTTGGATCTTATCAGATGTCACAATGGCACAGGCCACATACGAATGTACTCGTATTTATACATATAAAAGGAATTTTATATGCCGATGTAGTTTAATTACCCCTTGAATACATTTATAAACAGGAACGAACTGGGCAGTAATGGATCGATTCTACTGTAAAATAGAATGTTATGGCAAGGCTATGTTACGTGGCAATTTTCATATAAAATCGTACTAAATACCGTCGGTTCCTAAAGTTATATCTATATACCTATTTATATTTAAAAAAATGACGTGTCATGATGTTTGTCGCAGTACTTCTTCAAAACGTTTTGACCATTTTTTATAAAATTTTATAATCACGTTCATATGACTGAAAATCGGATAAAATCTATTTTTCATATTCTAAAGTTGTAAGGTTTGGTCGCTCTTAAAATTTTTTCTTTACTTTTTCGACAAATTTCTTTCATTTTATTTATTCATAAATCGAAAGGCACAAAATCAAAAAGGCACATACATCTCTAAATTTTCACTCTTCCACCACAAGCCACTATTTCGTAATAGTCGTTTTAGTAATCGAATAATTTTTTTATAAATTTATTTTCATTTCAATAAATGTTTTTGACTTAATTTTAGTTTAGTTTTTTTTCAATTTATGAAAGAGCTTTAATTTTACTTTTAAAATCATTTTGAATTTATCAAGGGTTGTACAACCCTAACACTTTCTTTATTTTATATTTATTAATGCAGTATTTATTCATTTCTGTATTTTTTACTATTTATTTCATTGTGTATTTTTATTCCGGATACAAAATTAAATTTAGTAACCACAGAAAATAAGTTATCTTAATTGAATTAATTACAGTAAAATACAACTCTAAAACAATATTAAACCTGGCAATAGTATTATCTAATACAATATTGTGATATTTTATTTGAGGCTTGTAAATCTTGAGACTCTTCTGATGGTAAAATAATCCTTTAAATATCCATTATGCAATTTTTATTTAATTCTCCAAATCTGGAAAATAATAATTAAGGTCAGTATCAAAAAAAGAATACAATATGAAAATAATTGTAATGATAAATTGAAATAATTGAAAAAACACATGTAACATTAAACTTTGACTCTCCTACCTCAAATCCCTATTTCATAGAAGTCTCATATTTTATTATCATTTTATTAGCTCTATTATTTTTCTAAAATTATATAAACTAATCAATAATCATCTTTTTTGTAAACTTTTTTTTTGTATTTCGACCAAAATTTTTTTGAGCTTATAGAGCTTGAGCTTAAATTCATCTGTTCTATACACTGATCATTTGCAAAACAATTTTGAAATATTAGTAAAAAGCTCATAGTTTCTAAACTTGAGATAATTGTGTTTCTGATTTTTTTTCAGGACAGTTAAGGTCAATACTATCACTCTGTTTTGGCTTGGAGTCAAATTCTGAGACACCTTATATATATGAAGTTGTCACCTAAATATGAATATCAAACTGAACAAAATATTAATATATAATATTAAAAAAAAAAGAAAAATATCAATATTATTTTTGAAGTAAAACTTTATTGAGCGCGACTAGGGTGTAAAACTGTGAGAATGCAACGGAAATTGCGTTACGCCCGTCATTCGCTCTCGATGCAATAGCCGTCGTTTCGTGTGAATAGAGATTTGTCGTTGTATGCGTACCGGCATGAACGTTGTATACGTCATTTTATGCTTATTTATCTATGGTATGCGTACCTATATCAACAAAGAAATTGGCATAGATAAATAAACATTTTAAGGTTACATCGTTATACAAATCTTTATTTAATAAAGAATTCCTGAATCAAAAGGATATTTTACCCTGTTTTCCGTAAATAATTATAATGAAAATGATAAAATAAAGGAAACATTATTCTATAAATAATTTCTATATTATTCATAGCATCTATAAATCTTCGAAGTTATTAAAGTGGAAAATATTTTAGGCAAGACAGATTTTATAGCTGCCAAAAGAATGAGATTATATCGCCAGCGAAAAAGTTAAAAAAATACAACCAGTCAATGAATGTATGTTAATTTTAATTACATAAAGTTCTTCGAACACAATTACATGATGAGTGAAATTGTGAAAACAATATTTCTTTAGGCGTTGTATAACGTAATCCACTGTGTGAACAAATATTATAGAATTTTCAGCAATAACATCATTTCTCTAATGAAGGTCCAAGTTCTAATTGCTAATTACAATGACAAACCGATCATTTCATATTTGAAGTATGACTTTAATTATATTATTAGTTATAAATATTATACATATTTTTAATGCTATTATAAATATATAATTTATAATTTATTATTATATAAATGTGTATAATAGTTGACACTAATAAATGTGTACATCACAAGCGATACCATATTACTTATAAATATTATTCAAAATTGTTATATGATGTATTTATTTACAATTGATATGCCATCCTGTGATAACAAAAAAGTTTTACTTCAATCGCGTGTGAACCTTACGCGCACTTTTTTTTGTAATCTAACTCTGTAATAAGTAAATAATTTATTCAAGTCTTTTCAATTTTTTAAAATCAAAAATACGCAAATTTTCTAAAATTATTGTAATTGCTATCAAAATCGAATAGAATTTTTTTATGAGTTAACGTTTCAGGTCTCTCTGATATTTTTGTTATTTATTTTATGAACTTTTCCTTAGTTCTAATTGCTGGTAAAAATACTTATATATAAAAATTATATTTTTTTAGCAGTATTTACAAAAAAATTCACCAATTTTCTCTAAGGCACACCCCACCAGTTTATTTTATGTATTTTTCGTACCGGGGTGGTAACACGTGATACGAAATTATTCAAGCGCGTTAAAATAGTTTTCGAAAACAACATTGAAACAAGTTATATTAATCACCATAACTATGCCGTATTTTACTATTGTGGGACTTTTGAATTAATAATTAGCAGTTCGTAACGATCGCATGATGGAAATATATACCATATATATCTGTATGGATCCCATAGATATGTATCTGTTACAGATCACAACGACAGATAGAAAGAGTTCAAAATGTTTTAATTGGACAACGTTTGCTATAAATTATACATACGATGCTATTGAGATAGTGGAAATATAATAAATTTATACAAATACATTTTACACAATTCAATTAAGTGCTTTAATATTATTGTTGCCAATGGTATTAATATTTGTTTTATTTTTAAAAATTAAATTAATTCAAAGAACATTTTGCTTGAGTAGACGGTGTACAAAAAATACTTTTCCAGAAAATTTCGTAATTTTAAAAATTTTCAAAAAAAATTCCAATTTTCGAAAATTTTCATTATTTTAAAAAAAAACTAAATTTTGAAAAAATTAAAAAAATATCAAAATTGAAAAAAAAACTATTTTTTACAAAAATTTGAGTTTATTTCGAATATTTTCAAAAATTTCCAAATTCTCAAAACGCTTTTTTTTAATTCCAAAAAAAATGAAAAAAATCTAAATTATCAAAAAAATCTAACTAAAAAAAAATTAACAAACTTCTTATAAACATACACATAAGTTGTTCATAAAATACACTCGTCGCCCAATTAAAAACACTTGCAAGTTTACAGTATGTATTTAAAGTAAGTAGTCTAATTGAAAACAATTATTGATAATTTTCATTTCTCGGAAAGTTCCAGCAATTTGCCTTAAGGCACGATGCCATGCGCCCCACTAGTTTTATAACTAATTTATTAGTGCCTTTATTGTGTATAATATTTCCTGATTCTTCAGCAATGTATTTTAGATGTCCAATTACATACACCACTAGTTAAATAATTCAAATCGAGCAATACTTTCAAACACTGAACATAAATAAGCTTACATCTCTCATCTCATCTTACATAAATAAAACATCAACAAACGGAGAAGAATAACAAAAGCAAACGTTTCCGAATATTTGCCTTAACAATATCGTTTTCTTTACACGGGGAAATGATCGGTAAAATCTGTTGGCTCACAAATTATATGTAAACACGATTAAATCAAATAGAAGTCCCGAAGAATATAATGCCGAAAATCCGTCAGACGAAAAGTAAAGCGTTACAATAACGGGGTTGCCCACCCATGTAACACGAGAATAAAGATATATTGAATAAATAATCGAAAGGCAGCAGGAATTACTTATTTGCCTTCCAGATACAATTGTTAAAGGATATATGCGAGCATTATTGAACACCAGAGCAAATAGATAGAGGAAATCGAGCCAATTCGGTAATTACACAATCTTTTGGATAGTTTTTGGAATACATTT